GGTACAATAAATAGAAAAACATAAATGCTAAATGTTACAGTATTTTTTTTCAAATGGCCGTTTTGAAGACTGTGCACATGACTGATTAGCAATGACTTCCACGGTTGTTATTATTATATTGTTATATACATTTTGAATTATTAAACATATGGTATAACATGTCGCATACTTCACAATAAAAAAAATCAGCTCTGTCATCTGATTGCCTCATAGACTGTGTGGAAAAAGTAGAGAATCAAGTTTTTCAGTTTTTTTATTTTTTATTTTTTAGAGGTTAACATGAATTATTAAGTTGTAAGTAACAACACACATATATATATAAGACTATACAATTTCGAAAGACGTAAAGTGACAAAAAAAAAGGTATAGTTATGTTGAAGTGGAGTTCTCTAATACACAAAAGAATGAACGTAACATACTATTGTATTTCTCACGTATTCAATGGTGGGCATCAAAAAACAGTATAACAGGCCTTTTTCAGAAGAGGCTGTGGGAAAGTTTGTATACATACTTACCAAAATAAGTTAGAGCAAAATTTAAAAGTAAAATAATTCTACTTACCATCGAGACTTTTCACCTCTTATTTTTATTTACCTTTTTATGTATAATCAAATTTATTGTTATTGAAACAGTATCTAATGAAACGGAAAAAACACATATTGAAGTTATTGAATACTGGAGATGAGATGTAGACAAATATAAAAATAACAGGTATCTAATAAAAATGCTAATTTTTTTATGAAATAGGTTAAGGAATTAGCCTTTCTTGATCCTATTATGAAGTAATCTCTCAAAAAATTTTAAGTTAATGTGGAAGAGTGGTTTGTGGGGCTGTGGAGGTAACTAACCCATATTGACCCTATGACAAAGTATCTTTACAACAGATTCTCACTTTTTGTGGCGGCATGTGGGGGCTCCGGAGGAAAGGGGACATTACCCCGTATGTACCCTTCTGTAACATATTTAAAAAAAAAAACTAAGTTTTTGTTAGGGGGAGGGGGGCGTCAAAGAGACATCTCAAATTCGGACATGTGTGTGCGGCAGGGGTATGAGGGGAGTTATTCATATTTATTGTTAAGTCAAAATCACGCAGAAATGTAGAGAATTTTCTCTTATTATGTGAGAGGGGGGGGGCATGGGAGTATGGAGTTTGTCAGAAAACAGGTAACTATAACGTTTTTCTAGAAATATACTAAGTTTTTGTGGGAAGATTTAGGAGACCATTAAATTTGCAAGGGGTCCGTCAGTGTGTAGTGGGTGAGCACGGGGGGTTTGACACGTCAATTTAGGTTAGATTCATAAGAAATGTACAGAATTGTTCCTTGTTAAAACTGAAACATTTAAACTAAAAATTTTTTTTTATAAAAGTATGTTCACTTATTTTTGAAAGGATAAATCGTGTGAGGCGCAGTAAAGGGGGACAAGAAAAATTGGTCGTCGGCAGTGGGGGCTCGAACCAATATTGATTGAGCTAAAAGAACATAGAAATGAGACGAATTTTCCTTTAATTCGTGGGGGGTACTTGATAGACCAATAGAGCGCAGTGAAAGGTCATGTAAAGTGCACTTCGCATTCAATTGTACCATATAGAAATATATGTATTTTTTTTAAGTTAAAGTTATTTCATGATATTTTAAAATTTTGTCAACTTTTTTTTAACCTTTTCTTTGCTGAAGTTTACTTTTTCTTCTGATAACTACTTACGCTGATCTTCTGACCTCAATTATGATTTCCTGTAAACTTGAGTTAATTTTTTTACAACAAGCGCTTAACAATTGTTAAAATTTTTTTTTTATATGATCTCATTAACTATAAGATTGTATGCCTGGTCTATATTTTTTTTTGTATTTAAACTTTACTATTTTTCTCTTGTTCTTTGATGCACTGCCACACAAACAAAAAAAACCGTGTAGTTCCACATTGTTTCGTGACTTGGTTATTGTGGTATACAATGCTACAAGAAAAAGACACCAAGAGTTCCCGCAATCTCATAATTATCAAGTAGATAATGATCAATTTTGTTATATTTGCTCAAAGTTTGAAGTTAAATCTTTGCGGAAAACAATTGACAAATCTGTTTGTAAATTGTATGGAGAACTATTTGATTTTCGAATCGATAAGAATAACGACCGGTTTCCATCTGTTGTTTGCAATGCTTGTAAGAAGATGTTGTTAAAATGGAAGGTGTAGAAACATAAAGGTGTCATTAAATTCTCCCCCCCAACAATTTGGAGATATCCTCGTACTTCGAAAGAATACTATTTTGCATGAATGACATCAAAGGTTTTAGCATAAAAACTAAGAGTGAAATTGTATATTATTCCGTTGAATCGGTTACAGCACCTGTATCGTACCAACAAACTGATTCTGATTTTAAATGCAGTGAAAACACTATGAACTTTAATGGTACATTACGTCACTAGAGCGCAAAGTACAAATATGAGCGCCCAAAGGGCGCGCTTGTTGTAGGTTGGTGCCCGAGTTACGTATAATGTTTTTCTTACGGAGGGCGCAAAGTGCAATTTTGCGCCCATGGGCACACTTTGCGCCCAGTAAATCACTTTGGGCTCTAGGGCAGAAAAGTACTTTGGGCCCGGAGGGCGCAAAAAACTTTTCTGCCAGTGGGCCCAAAGTGATTACAAGGGCGCAAAGTGTGACCCGAGGGCGCAAAGCGGCAGATGCACTTTGGGCCCATGGTAAGAAAAAATTTGAAAACTTCAAGCGGCATTAACGATGACAACAGCAGTAGTGAATCAGAGTACACAGTAGAAACGAAGAAATTAGATTCCCTCGTTAGTGTTGCAAACGGAGTTAAACGATGCTGTTGGAGATCTGGGCTTACTGAAAGATGGTTCTGGTTTTTTGGCTTCATTTAAAGAAAAAGAATTTTTTGAAACCTACAACAAAAGTTTCATTTTATCGCAATCGTGATTTTCAATTCCGAAAGTATTTCGACCGAGATAAAAAGTCATCTTTAGTGTCTTGTAAGAATATTGAAGGTTTGATAAATGTGTTCCAACCAAATGCTTACCAATTTTTATCATTGCAACTTTTCATCGACTCTTCAAAACTAAGTATTAAAGCTATTCTGCTTCATAGTACAAATGGATTTGTACCCATACCAATCGCTCATTTAACCGTAATGGACAAAAAGTATGAGAGTATGAAAATACTTTGATAAAAAATTCAGTACCATAAACACTAAAGGCAGATTAGTGGTGATTTGAAAATAATAACGTTTCTTCTTGGACAACAGTCTAGCTTCACAAAATATCCTTGCTATTTGTGTTTGTGGGATAGCTGAGACAGACAAAATCATTATATCAAATTGAAACAGTGGCCTGAGAGATCATCCTTTAAACCTGGTTCTAACAATATCAATGAATCTCTTGTTGATCTATCAAAAATACTCATTCTTCCTCTGCATATAAAACTTGATCTTCTGAAACAATTCGTGAAAGCCTTCTACAAAACAGGGGGAACCTTTATATATTTATCTTCAAAATTTCCTAAACTCTCTGATGCCAAGTTAAAAGCAGGAGTGTTTGATGGACTACAGATTCGTAAAATGTTCAGAAACAAAGGCTTTATTGAAAAAATGAATAAACTTGAAAGAGTAGCTGGGTTGAGTTTTAATGATGTGTGTTACAACTTTTTAGGTAATAATAAGAGTCAAAAGTATCAAAAAATTGTTGCCAAGATGGTTGAAAACTTCAAAAATTCGGGATGCTTAATGAATGTGAAATTACACTTCTTGGATGCACATCTTGATAAATTCCCAGAGAATCTTGGAGATTTTAGTAAAGAACAAGGAGAAAGCTGTCATCAAGATATAAAAGTTATGGAAAATTGTTATCAGGGACGTTGGAATGTCAATATCATGGCTGACTCCTATTGGAGTATAAAACGAGATACACTAAACAGTGATGGAAAGAGAAAATCATTACCTAGATCGTTTAATAAAAAAAGATCTCGCTACAATAGCAAAACAGAATGATATATTTTATATTTTATACTTATGCATTGTAATTATTTGTTTTTCATACAAGTCACTCGTTTTTTAATCTAGTCATTCTTTCTTTTTTTAGTCAGCCGTTTTCATTTTTGTCCTTTAGTTTTTATTTTAGTCATTTATTTTTTATACCAGTTATTCATTTTTTATCCTAGTCATTTAGTTTTTATTTTAGTCAATTACTTTTTATTACAGTCATTCGCTTTTTATTTAAGTCACTTGTATTTTGTTCTAGTTTTCCTTTTTTTACTGTAGTCGTGTCATAAAAAGTCTTATAAAAAGGGCTACATAATGTACAAAATCAGATCGTGCAATTTTCCCGCGGTATACATCGAGTAACACTAATGCCGACGGTTCTATCATTGTTAAATAGTGTTATGGATTTATAACCTTTGATTCCGCTGCTCATCAATATTCTGAATATCTGTCACAGAATAGATTATAACAAAATGCCCAAAATAAACAGATTTCTTCTAGCAGCAAAGAGGTTATGGGGTTTAGAGGTTTTGGGGTTATAGTATTATAGAGTTATGGTTTCATGGTAACATAGAATTAAAGTTTTATGGTTTTAAGGGTTTAAGAGGTTTTATATAAATAATTTATAGTTACATAAGTAAAAAAGAGGATTTTTCGAGGTTATGGAAAACTCTAACCCGATGGAATTATTCTGATCCCAAATTCTGATTCAGTGACTCCAAAAACATATAGTTACTATGGTCTGACCACCTAACCCTGAAATTTTTTTTTTGTGTGGCTGTGTATCTTTTTTGACATCAAGCGGGTAATAGTGACAGTATGCGCCTTATTTTGGTACCATCTCAAATGACACATTTTTATTTAGAATATACTATCATCAGCACGTCTTAAACATCATGTTTTGAGAAAACTTGTATCTATTAGATTTTTAAATTTATTTTATATTATTTATATGTTATATTTACATTTTTTAAACTGCTAATAACATTTTAAATAATTTTTGTTGTTGTAGGATTTAGTAATGCTAATGCAGGTACATTGTTTGGCACACAACAGAATGCAAACAACAATCTCTTTGGAAGTAGTTCTTCGTCTTCGACATTTGGACAAACTAGTAAACCCGCTTCATTTGGTTTTGGTCAGCCTAGTAATTCAAGTATTTTTGGACAAACGCAACAACAAAACACCCAACAAGCATTGCCATTTGGACAAATAGTATCTACAAACACTGGTGGTCTTTTTGGAAGTTCTTCGGGTGAGAAACCTTAAATAATCACTGTTAATACTCTCCTCATGTTATTTTTTCTGGAAAGTCCAAAAATTCAGCAATCCTAATTTTATAAAAAATTTACATTTACTTGTTTTCTTGTTACTTCCTCTTTATTTTACCATCTTTGAAATGTATTATGGATTTGATTATATTCTTTTGTATACGCATTTCGAGATTTGCATGCACATTATACGCTGAAAATGAAAAAAAAGTGATCTCTATTAGTTGATATCTTATCAATAGTTAATACGTACAAATATGTATGTATAAATTCATCTCTAATATGGTGGGCATACTAAAATGCAGTTACCTACATTCAAGCTTGAATAAGAGCAGTTATACTTGTATGAGTAATTATCTCAAAAGTTAAATGGAATTCTTCGAAAGACAAGACTCGTTTCTATGTGCTAAAAATGGTTCGTTGAGACATATTAAAAAACTTTTAACCTTTAAAAAAAATTGAGAAATTCTTAAAAAATTTGTTTTAATTTAAACAAATTTCTTAGACATATTATTTAGTTTATAAATTTTTTAAAAATTGATTCAAGCTCTCGTGAAAAAAATTAGTCACAATCTTTGGTAATAGTGAGTAAATTATAACGAAATTTCTGTAAAAAAATCGTTTTAGTATCGATCACGAAGCTTTCATGATATATTATAAGTCAGAGATTTAAAAAATGCTTATGAAAAAATATGCCTTTATTAAGCACTACAAAAAAAAATTTGTAAATGTAAATATAATCAAGAGGTGCTTATATTCTCAATGCACAAAAGAAAAGTAGACATTTTCTTCAGTTAGCATATTGAAGCTTAAACTTTTTTATAAAAATTCTTCTTCAAGTCTTTTAATTCAAAGCCTTAATCCAAATTTTTTTTATTTTTCTTAAAAATCTCAACATTCAATGGTGTGATATAAAAAAAAATTTTATCGCAATCGTGATTAATAAAAAAAATCAGCTCTGTCATCTGATTGCCTNTGTTTTTGCTATTTTACGTTGTTAACTAATGTACATTCACTGTAAATAAATCGTTTTTTACGATTGTTTATTAATCATTGTGCAAACAATAACAAAAACAAAAGCTTTTTAGTAAATGACCTAGTACTCTTCCTTTATATGGTTTTTTTTATGAAGAATACTTACTAATAACCACGTGGTGCTTTGAACAAAATACCCTAGTGTGCCAAATAGCCCAAATGAGTGTTTGAATTTTTCCGGTGTCAATGACTTTAATGATTAAATTATATTGTAACAAATTTTATCAAAGGGCTGCAGTTATGCACTGTGTTATGTGGTTCGACTTGCTATTCGTAATCGATAACTCAAAATATATCAGTAACAATTTAAATGCTCATGTTATCTCCTACATGTGATTTTATATGAATTTTAAAACAAAACTTCACCAAAAATCGTTTCAGCATCAGTGCCTTTACCTTTAATCAACCGTAAAGTTTGTAATATCATTTTAAAATTCCACTTAAAATAATCAATTAACAAGAAGTCATTCTTTCTTTTTTTAGTCAGCCGTTTTCATTTTTGTCCTTTAGTTTTTATTTTAGTCATTTATTTTTTATACCAGTTATTCATTTTTTATCCTAGTCATTTAGTTTTTATTTTAGTCAATTACTTTTTATTACAGTCATTCGCTTTTTATTTAAGTCACTTGTATTTTGTTCTAGTTTTCCTTTTTTTACTGTAGTCGTGTCATAAAAAGTCTTATAAAAAGGGCTACATAATGTACAAAATCAGATCGTGCAATTTTCCCGCGGTATACATCGAGTAACACTAATGCCGACGGTTCTATCATTGTTAAATAGTGTTATGGATTTATAACCTTTGATTCCGCTGCTCATCAATATTCTGAATATCTGTCACAGAATAGATTATAACAAAATGCCCAAAATAAACAGATTTCTTCTAGCAGCAAAGAGGTTATGGGGTTTAGAGGTTTTGGGGTTATAGTATTATAGAGTTATGGTTTCATGGTAACATAGAATTAAAGTTTTATGGTTTTAAGGGTTTAAGAGGTTTTATATAAATAATTTATAGTTACATAAGTAAAAAAGAGGATTTTTCGAGGTTATGGAAAACTCTAACCCGATGGAATTATTCTGATCCCAAATTCTGATTCAGTGACTCCAAAAACATATAGTTACTATGGTCTGACCACCTAACCCTGAAATTTTTTTTTTGTGTGGCTGTGTATCTTTTTTGACATCAAGCGGGTAATAGTGACAGTATGCGCCTTATTTTGGTACCATCTCAAATGACACATTTTTATTTAGAATATACTATCATCAGCACGTCTTAAACATCATGTTTTGAGAAAACTTGTATCTATTAGATTTTTAAATTTATTTTATATTATTTATATGTTATATTTACATTTTTTAAACTGCTAATAACATTTTAAATAATTTTTGTTGTTGTAGGATTTAGTAATGCTAATGCAGGTACATTGTTTGGCACACAACAGAATGCAAACAACAATCTCTTTGGAAGTAGTTCTTCGTCTTCGACATTTGGACAAACTAGTAAACCCNTAAAATATTTAAAATATAAAAAATTTAAATTGCATCAGAACTGTTTACATTTACATGTGATAAGATTGTATTTTTGACCACTCTTGATCAAATTTACACTAATAGAGTTACTAAGGAAATAAAATTATTATGATGCAAGAGAAATTTTGGACTCACGTAAGAACTTTGATTTCTTAAGCCAAAGCTGATAATTAAGAAGCTGGCTAGCAAGCATGTCTCGAGAGGTCACATCAACGGAATTCAGCTTCGTTGAGATATAGTGCCATTTTACTGAATTGAATATCGAAGTATGGATTAGCAGTATGCATAGTCTGACAGAAAGAAAGACTATTAAGCCAAAATAATACATTTTTCGAATTGGACTGAAAATGTACTGACACAGGGCTCAGCTATGTAACTTCAAAAAAAGTGTTGTACCACTTCAGATAGTGAGTGAGCAGCACAAAGTTCCCACCGCATTATTCTCAAAACCCTTGATCGGGGTAACCTTAGTTTTAGCCAACTAAAGACATACATAAATATTTTTATGTTGCTGAACTCAAAGATACACTGCAGCAGTATAGGCTTTCTCGGACATATCAGTAAACCCGTAAATTTTAAAAGATTCACTAGAAATCATCAAATGATTATATTTTGTAAAAGACAGCTAGTTGAGCAGAAACTGTGCCCATTGGGCTCTGTAATGCTGTGTTACTATGCATATATATGCCATTGTCATTGGTATCGTGAAAAACTGCCTTGGATTTAATTGTGACATTTATAAGTTACACAGCAAAGGAGATCTTCTTTTATATAGCTTCCGAACCATTAGACCACAGTTGGAATTCGCACATGAGAAAGTAGATTCTCAAAGGTGCGAGCCAAGTGAGTAAAGGCTGGGTCTTGAACTTGGGAGCATTTGTTACCAAGCCCCCAAGCTACAAAAATAGCAGCCGAAACGACTGATACCTTGACCGTCAAACATGTATAGATAACATGATAAAAGAAAGTTGGAATAAGGGAACACTGAGGTAGAGACACTTTTGAGCCGTACTCTAGTTGCGCGATCTAAAAGCTTACGAGTCTTTACAGTACTAAGCTTTACTTTAAGATGACTGCTGTACCATTTGGCATTACTAGCGAAGGCTCTTAGGTTTTTGGGAGTTTGCTGCATGCGCAGTGCGTAATCACCTTTTCTCCACACATGAAGTCGAAGAGTTCCCATATCTAAACCTTTAAACTAAGCTGCACTCAATTCTGAAAACTTGAATATAAAATCCTGTACTCCTCAGGTGCGATCGACGATAGCTGGGTGGGTTAAGTCTTTGCTTCATCCAAACATGCCAGCTTGAGAATCCCGCGGATATTTTTTTTTTGTAATCAACTCAATTTTAATAAATTTATTTCTGTTTAGCAAAAGTGGTTTTTATTTTTTTTTATTTTTATATTTTTTACATTCATTCTTAGCTACCTGTAATATGTGATAATTAAGCATAATATTAATTTAGCCTCATAATAAGTTACTTTTTAATTAAAAATATGCTAATTTTTTCTTATTTAAATCAGAGTATACACAAAATATAATGCCATGTTTATGTTGTTATACACGTACGTGTGTAATGTTTTAGTACTCTTCCTTTATATGGTTTTTTTTATGAAGAATACTTACTAATAACCACGTGGTGCTTTGAACAAAATACCCTAGTGTGCCAAATAGCCCAAATGAGTGTTTGAATTTTTCCGGTGTCAATGACTTTAATGATTAAATTATATTGTAACAAATTTTATCAAAGGGCTGCAGTTATGCACTGTGTTATGTGGTTCGACTTGCTATTCGTAATCGATAACTCAAAATATATCAGTAACAATTTAAATGCTCATGTTATCTCCTACATGTGATTTTATATGAATTTTAAAACAAAACTTCACCAAAAATCGTTTCAGCATCAGTGCCTTTACCTTTAATCAACCGTAAAGTTTGTAATATCATTTTAAAATTCCACTTAAAATAATCAATTAACAAGAAACTAACAATTATTTAAAAATTTTCCAAATAGCTATTTGTTATGCAACTCAATATTTATATTTTCTCACGGTTATTTTCAAATTAACATTATAGTTTTTTACATCGATCTAAAGCTTTTTAGTATAAAAAAATTTTTTCCGCATTTTTTTGCCATTAACATGTTATTAACAATTAATAANGTACTTTGAAGAATCAATCAAGCCTAAATTCAATACAATTTGTTGCGAACTAAGAGAGAAAAGTTACATTTCAAATTGTGTACACTGACCCACTCTTTTATGATCACGAAATGTAACTTTTCTCTCTTAGTTCGCAACAAATTGTATTGAATTTAGGCTTGATTGATTCTTCAAAGTACCAGCTTTGGGGCTCTTCTCATCATTTTGGGTTTAAATAGTTATATAATTAGTTATTAACAATAATTTCTTATTACAGGTA